TGTCCCTTCTCTCCAACCTCTCCTTGCTCGCCAAGCTCCCCTGAATCTCCAGATTGGCCAGGTTCCCCAAAGTCGCCCAGCTGGCCGATTTCGCCCTGATCCCCTATTTCGCCCATCCGGCCTTTCTCTTCTCGTCCCTTCGGTCCCTGTTCACCCTCGCCGCCAACAGGGCCAGGCTCACCAACTTCGCCTTTAGGGCCCTCTTCACCAATCTCTCCTTTTTCACCAGCTGGACCGAGCTCACCATCTGCTGCTTCCAGCCCATGTTCACCTATCTCGCCCTGGGATCCTAAAGGACCCGTGTCACCTATATCGCCAGGTATGCCTTTTATACCAGTGAGGCCCTGATCTCCCGGAGCACCCTGGGGCCCCCGCATTCCAGGATCACCTTTGACGCCATGCGCAGCGTACTCACCACTAACACCGGGCACACCAATGTCCCCTTTTACGCCTAAATAAAAGTAAAAAATCCAACTAAAATGAATGTGAGTGCAAAAAGACATGATAAATACGATATATGGGTTTTAAACTTTTGTTGAATTAAGAGCAACTTACAATGAAGTCAACCTCAGGCAACAAATAAATTTTGCCGTTCAAGAACGGAATAATCACTAAGATTTTGGTGAAATTTACAAGAAATTTTGCTTTGTACCTAAGACTATTATTTCTAGTAGATTGGCTCCTTGTTTCTGAGTCTATCACACTTACGACCTATTACAGGAGTTTGGCGGCGATGTTAGAAGGCACTTAGAGACAAAGCAATTAAGCAAAGAAGTGGATGGCCTCTCACAACTTTTTTCTGAATAGCAATTATTAGTGAGAGTTCTAACACCTAAATCCAAGGCCTCCATGTTTTAGCTAGAACATTTTGTTAGTTATCAGCCCATTGCATTTAGCAACATGATGTCATTACACTAACCTGATAATACCGGGCTATATAAACGTGTATAAACAAATGTGAAGTTAGTAGGACAAGCAAAAAAGACGAAATAGACTGCAAGTATCCACTAAATATCCCATCGCAGAGGATAGAGGAAAACTATCATGGAGCTTGGAGAGCATGCTAGTTGTGGACCATACCAAAAACGGCATAAATTGAAATTATAGGCATATTTTAACTTACTAATGAAAAACACGATATCGCCAACACCTACTTTATTTTAAATAATATTTACGTCTTCCTAATTTTATTTAATTTAGAATTAGTCTGACATCATTTTATCGAGTTGGTTGCATTGTGAGTGATACCTCGAAGAATTTATCTTGTCCGACATAGACAGACATAGTAATTATGTAACCTCTTACATTTCCCGAAATTTATCCAGAATCGTCGTCATCACCTTCAGTGAGCTTTAGCGTGTTAGCACCAAGCTATATCCTATCAAAAATATAAATGTGGTCCAGCCCTTTATAAACTTTCCGTAAATTTCTGTGCTACCTCTCCACTTTCTGTCCTGTAGTATTCACCTCTTCCATATAAGTTAATCTTATAACCTCAACAAAAAATTCTAATCTATTTAAATTGAACTATGGCAACTCCTATCAGCTTCCCTTTGGCAAACTCGATTACCTTAGTTTGATCTCATTTTACTCACTCATTGCACTCAGCCTCAACTAATTGACGTATCATTTCCAATGATATGCCTCAATCAATTGCTTGTGTGTATATGGTAATCTCATTGAATTCCTTGAGATCTTCCCGAAAACTTGAATAAGATAGGCTAAACAGGTCAAATCAATTTCATTCAGTAAAAGTAGACTGCGATCGAAAGAGCATCCACACAATCTTGATTTTCATGCTCTTAATTCGTTTTAGTTAATCTTAATTGGTTAATTTATATTCAGTGTTGTTTCGAACTTTTTTTCGCAACTTGGTTGGAGCATCAGGGAGATCTTATGGAACGTACATAGTCCCGTATCCTCTGCCATATTATTCGTAATTTCCAGCTGGGTACATTCGCAAATGCTTTACCGGCATTGTAATCGGCATATTTAGTGAGAGGCGCCATCGTAAGCACATAGTTACAACTTATCAAAGTGGCAAGTGAAGGAAATCCCTTTGACCAATTTTCTGTTCAGCCGTTGTGGCACCAATCATCGCCCCTATTTTTATTCTACCTTCTAGTGCTGCATCACTTTCTCTCAACTCCACTTCATATGGTTTGAAGACTAGGGATAGAAAGATTCCTTGGCACCGGCATGCGCATGTGCAAGGACATGGGGTTAATCTGTTCTAAATCCTCGGATATGACGTAATCAAGGACCGGAATTAAAGTTTCTTAGCCAGCCAAATTTTAGCAAGCCAAACAGTGATTTTGCTGATTTTGCTGACAAGCGGATAAGAAAAAGAGGGCGAGGCAGAATGTAGGTAATGAGCACTGAAAACGCCATCTGGTACCTGTAGTGCAGATGATTATGCTTCACTAAACTCACTTGTAGCAACAAGCTTTTAGGCGACATTAGAGTAACGAGAGCACAGAATTATGTGAATAAGTTGATGGGCCAAATGAAGTGGGGTTGAGAGAAAGAGTTGCGTCACTAGAAAGTAGAACAAAAAATAGGGGAGAGGAGTGATGCTACAATGGTTGAACAGAAAATTGGTTAAAAGGATTGCCTTTACTTTTCTCTTTGATATGTTTTAACTCCCAGTGACTATGCCTACGAAACGTTTACTATGGGAATGCACTCGGCCAATGGTCCAATGCTGGAAATCACGAATACTATGACAGAGGACACGGGAATAGGTACGTTTCACAAGTTCCTTCTGACACTCCGACCAAGTTGCGAAAACAAGATCGGGCCAACACTATTAAGATAAAGGAGACTGCGATCAAACAGAAGGCCACATCATCTTGGTCTTCATATCTACGATATAATTTATATTTAATTCAGTAGCATATTGTTCGAACTGCAGAAGCAGAAACTAATACTACAAAGAATAACAATAGAAAAGTTTAATTAGAAACTCTTTACCTAACTTCGAAATCATGAAGCTTTGTGGTAATCAAGTAACATTCTCTATAAGCTCCTCGTATACATAAACAATAAAATATCGCTCCTTTTGAAAGTAAGGGCTATTAGCTCTCGATGTTATTTTACAATATTTATCTATCAACCTTAGAACGCCAGATTGCAGGGCAAACACCTGAGGCTAGCCGCTTGACATGACAAAATAGTAAATGCGATATAAAATGTGAAATTAGTTTGAACCATTTGCAAAGGAAACTTATTAACTTCCTAGTATTTAAATGCCTATTTACTATAGACGGAAGCAGAAATACGCAAAGGCAAAGTCAAAACCAGCCAAAACATGTATCTAACCTTTTCTACAGTGCGCTTAAAGGATATAACAACACTATAGATGGGTACTAACTGGAGGATACCGTTTGAATACAACGTAGGTGGCTTTTTAAATTTTCAGATATCTTTTGCGGGACAGTATTATCCAGTAGCTCTAAAAATGTCTATAAAGTGCATCATTTTTTTTCAGTCCCTTTAAAATCGAGAAGTGTGATCCCGAATTAAATTTGGCTTTAATGGTCGTGAAATCCTGAGATTCAAAAAAATTCAATTCAAGTTATTCAGCAATCGCAGGGACGCATTCATTATTCATCATCTTGCTCCACTTACCGTTTGCACTTGCAGCCACACAAAATCCAGTAATGAGATATTCAACATACCGTTTGTAATGAAGCAAAGAAGTGGATGGCCTCTCACAACTTTTTTCTGAATAGCAATTATTAGTGAGAGTTCTAACACCTAAATCCAAGGCCTCCATGTTTTAGCTAGAACATTTTGTTAGTTATCAGCCCAATCGTGCCCAGTAACGATAAAATTGCAACTCAGATAGCCTATGTTAGATATTATTTTTTCAGCTAATAAAATTCGGATCAGCAATTCGTTTTAAATACTATGACATTCTACATACTTCTACTCCACTTAGGAAATAGCTTGGCATTTAATTTCAGGAGCATTGCAACACAATATAATATTGCAAACCTGTATCTGGCTTACTGAATACCTTTCAAATTATTTGCATGCACCAAACTCTCTTAGCGTTAAGCTAGGTCTCATTCAAGGAAATTGACTTAAAATGAACACTTCACCTTTGGAACTCCATACCTTAATCTCGACTGCAGGAGGAGCATACATATTTTACTTAT